GATGAAGGTCCAGTAGTAGTTGGCAAACTCGAAGAGTCACTGGACATCCTTTGTTTACTGAGGAGGCTGCCAACTGCGCAACGACTCTACCTTGCTGGGCTCCATCATAATTCCTTCAGGGGAGATACGGTGCCCCAAGAACTCGATGGTAGTCTGCCAAAATTGACACTTCTCCAGCTTTGCATACAGACAATGCTCCCAGAGTCATTGCAGGAGCAGGCATATGTGTTGCCAATGATCCTCCCAAGAAGCTGAGTAAATCAAAATGTCATCCAGGTAGATGATGACAAACTGGTCCAAGAGGTCCTGGAAGATATCATTCATAAAATGCTGGAGGATGGACAGGGCATTGTTCTATCCAAATGGCATGACCGTGTACTCCAAATGTCCGTACCGGGTGCTGAAGGCCATCTTCCATTTGTCCCCTGCTTGGACTTGGACCAGATTGTAGGCACCAAGTAAGTCCAGTTTTGTGAACACCGTCACCTCCCGGAACTGCTCCAACAACTCAGGAATCAGGGGCAGAAGGTAACATTTGTGCACCAGCTCATCCTGCAGGTCATAGGAGAGCCCATTTCAAAAGTGTCCATGAGGGCTGCCTCATTCCAGGCTGAATCTTGGCTAAAGAGCCGGAATTCACTGGCATAGACCTGCAAGGAGCCCCGTCCTGCTGCAGGATCTTGAGACATCTGGTGGCTTATACCTCCTTATGGGAAACTTCATACATGAGTCTGAGGTGATCACAAAAACCCCTGAAATCGTCCAGCAAAGGGCTAGCCTGGGTCAACAAAGGAGTAGCCCAATGAACTGCAGAGCTGGAGAGTAAGCTGATGATAAACCCTACTTTAGCCCGGTCAGTGGGAAAGTCCTCTGCTCTCAGATAAAGAGCTGGCATTGTCCCAAGAAAGCGAGAAATATGGCTTGGTTGCCGTCAAACCTATCCAGCACACGGCCACCTGCTGTACAAGTTGAGCGTTTTCAGCACAGAGCTGTTCCATGTGGCTTAATGTAACTTTTTTTGTTAGGGCAGGAAGCAAATTGTTCTAACCCCCCGCCCTGGCCTGTGAATAAACTAGAACACAGGCTTGGCTGTTTGCCACTATTTAATTACTGAGATAATGAATCCTTTGGCTTAGTGCCCAGACAACTCATATTCAAGGGAATAGCTTGGCAGCAACCCAGATAGTTCAAATGAAGCATCGCAGATAATCCAAATGAACAGACACAGCTAGAATACAGACAGAATTCGAACAGTTGTTTCCTGCAAATGTTCCCTCTTCTGTGAGTCTGCCTACGGAGTTGCTGCTTCCGTTTCTCAGCCCTTCTGAATCTAGCATCAGGAACAAACTGCCTTTGACCTTCCCCACTGCTCCATGCCTCAGGTGCCTCCTGGTGGCCAACAAGCCTTTCTGGTCCCTGCTCTGAATCTGAACCCTGCACAGGATCCTCCATGGCAGACTCATATGGTTATCCAAGTCCATCAGCAGCTCAACCGGATCCTGCTGGGCCACAATAGCTCCCACCACCAATTCCATTGGTTTCTATGATGTTATTGCAATTCATTAGGTTTCTATGGGTTTATTTGAACTCCTTTTCTTCTTCTTCCCTTTTTATTTTTTCCAGGTTTGACTTTTCCACTCCTGTGTTAATGATTAGGGCTTAAATGGGCTTAACTAGCACAGTCCTCAGCTGTTTTCCTAGCTGTGGTAGGCAGAATACAGGGTGGGATTTCTTCAAAGCTAGAGGTGAAAGAGACTTCTGAGTAATGAAACATAATTCGGGGATATTTTCTCACTTAATTACGGTAATGTTTCACCTGCCACAATTTGGAGTGCTGGAATCACTGCAGCCTCAACTCTGATAATATTATCCTGAGATATTGCTATTTTATGGGATAACTGCTACTGAAGCGTTTGGAGACAGCAATAAAATAATGTGAAGAAGTACATAGAAATCAGTTTTATTTCACTCTTTGCAGTCCTGGTATCTAAAAGGGAGGCTATTGACATTATTCTAGAAAACTATCTTGGAAATAAAATCTCATCTGGTTCAGTTCCAAGCTGGAGAAAGACTTTGAAATTAAAATGGAGTCTATAAGTTGATTGGAAAGGAGGTCCATTTATTGGTGAACAGAACCATCAGGATTTATGGTTCTCAGCAGCTTACAAAATTGAGTTTAGAGCAGATGGGTTTTTATGCCTTCTGGATTCCTATGGAGTCATGTAGGGGTCTACTCTATAGGCAAAAAGGGAAATGCAAATCCTAAGTGTTTGTCTGAGGTAGTTTTGTCAAGCTTTTGCTTGTTGCATACCTGAATTTCTGTCTTGACCCAGTCTTTCTGAATGGATTACCAAACGTGAAGACCTTTTCCAGCTGGCACAAAAGACTTCCCCAGACTTGCTTTGCTGAATAGGGGCGACAGGCCCGCACTTCCACCACCGGCAATCCTGAAAAAGTCTTCACTCCCTCCCTCTTGCAGCACACCCCAATGCGAAAAACGCTGAGATCGGTGCACTTGGGGCTGCTGCAAGCTGCTCGCCTCTCCCAGCCACTTTCGCAGCTTCCCAAAGCACTGAGAACCTTCTCCACACTCTCCTCAGCTCCTCGCAACTGCAATAGACATCCAGAAGAGGCTTTGGGGGCTAATTGGGCTTGGCTTTCCAGCCTGACAGCCCCCGCCACTTCTTCTCTGCTGGTCCAGAGATCATCTGGGAAGACGAGGAATGTGATGGAGATCCCTCCCCCCACGGATGGGCACCGGACCAGCGAAGCCTCCGCCTTCTTTTTAAACAGGCAAAAAACGCCGATATCGGCACACTTGAGGCTGCTGCTGTGATGTCCAGGAAGTCTAAACTAAACCAAGCCGCATGCCTCCCCCTGCCACTTTCGTGGCTTCCCAGAGTGCCAAGAACCTTCACGCTCTTCTCCATGCTCTCCTCAGCTCCTCGCAACTGCAATAGATGTCCAGAAGCGGAGGGGGCTATATGCTCAGAAAAACAACTTCGAGAAGGTTCTTTCCTAGCAGGCAGGTTCTAGGATGCCTGCCGCCATCAAAAGACCTTCCCAAAGTGGCTTTTCTGAGCATGGGGAAAACGGATGATATTTTGTCCCTTCTGTCTCCCTCTTGCTCAGAAACAACTCCGGGAAGGTCTTTTGGTGGCGGCAGGTGACCTAGAACCTGCCTGCTAGCAAAGGACCTTCCTGAAGTTGCTTTTCTGAGCAACAAAATACCGTCTGGCTGGGATGGGTATACATGGCCGGGTGCGGGGCAGGCTTACTTCAGGGTCAGGTGACTAACCGATTCGCAAGAACCGGCAGGGACCGGCAGCAACCCATATATAATTTATATATTGTAGTATAGTATATACTAGTGTACTAGTATAGTATGTATATGCCAGCTATTGGAATGTCTCTGATTCACCAAAGAGCTACTCTGCTTTGTCTAGAAAACTCCTATATCACTATCACCTTCGCTGTTTCAGCCAAAAACTCTGAGAAAAGAAGCTTCCAGTTCAGCTTTTGGACACACACACAAGGTTGTGGGATGCAGAATGGAGGGTGAGATATTTTAAAAGATAGAAGTCAAAGACAATCACAAACGGTTAAATGCATGTCAGGGATTTCGTCTCACTTGAATGTGTTTCCCTTCTAACAATTTACACTGCAGCCCTCATTCTGTTAATAATCTGAGATATTATTATTATTATTATTATTGCATGTGATATGATAACTGGTCCTGGTGGAAGCTATTGGATTCTTAAGGGCCAATTATATTAATGAGCATACATATCTGTTTTATTTACATTCGCTAAATGTGTCAATAAGCACACAGAAGTCATTTTTATTTTGGTGCACAAGTCTCTTGAGAGAAAAAAAACAAAATTAATAAACATTCAAAGAGAAATATCTATGATTACAGAAAGATGTTTCACTACATGAAAATAAGTAGGACAGCATTGACAGTGGTCGAGAGATTTGTAGAGATTTCTGTGTAGACTTTAAAAAATGAGATAACTGCATATTTAACATTGGTACCTTTTCCATATGATAATTATGAAGAATAAAAAATAGTTATAATCAGCGGAAATTTGGACCAAAACTTCATGCATGAACTGATCACTGATAAAAGTATTAGTGTTGACAAAGTAATCTCATCATCTCTCTGTATATCAGTAAAAAAAGTGCATGGTAAGAATCCTATATCTCTTTATTTCTCTGTTTTTAAACAAGTTAAATATTGTTGCTGAAAATGTGTTTGTCATTTGACACTTGAAAAAAAATGCTGAGATGTCAAAGTTCAAAGGTACAATAGGTTGTGTCTCATTTTCTGTCAAAACTCCACTATGGACATTATTGTTTTGTATTGAATGCGATACTGCCTTTTCAAGTTGAATTTTCATTTCCTTCTGATTGCTGGATATGGGGAATTATTAATTTATTGTACAAATATTTGAAATCTTTTGATTAACTATATTTCAAAATAGTATAATTGTGTCTTTATCACCAAGTGAATACCAAAAATTTTAATTAACAATATGTCATTAAACATGTATGTATTAATTTTATATATTACTTTCCAGAGTTTTTATCAGTGAAATTTTTATTATTTTATTACCGGTTCTGTGGGTTTGGCTTGATGGGCATGGTATGGCTTGGTGAGCATGGCAGGGGAAGGATATTGCAAAATCTCCATTCCCACCCCAGAGGTGGCCAGCCAGAGGTGGCAGCCAGAGGTGGCGTTTGCTGGTTCTCCAAATTACTCAAAATTTCCACAACTGGTTCTCCAGAACCTGCCAGAATTGTTGGACAAAAGTATTTTTATCCTCATTCTACATCCCTGTTTTCTGAGTTCTGATTCTCTTTTCATTCGCTCCATGCTTCATGTTTCCTAATGTTTTCATATCTCAACACATATCAAAATGCCACCTCCAAAATTTTATCTAACTGAATTTCCCTCCTTTCTTTCTTTGCAGTTATGACAGCTTTGTCATAAATAAAGCATGGAGAACCAAACCACAGTGCCTTACTTTCTGCTTCTGGAATTCTCAAAAAATCGACATCTGCAGATTTTGCATTTTTTCTTCTTCTTTCTGTTATATGTGGCAACTGTTATAGCAAATCTTCTCATCATCTCTGCAGTTGCTATTGACCATCGACTACATAGCCCCATGTACTTCTTTCTCATGAATTTGGGTCTGCAGGATCTGGGTATTGTTTCAGTCATTGTCCCCAAATCCATAATCAATTCTCTCATGGACACCAGATACATCTCATACTTTGGTTGTGTTACTCAACACTTTCTCTTTCTCTCTTTTGTAACTTCTGATTTATCCCTCCTAACAGTTATGGCATATGATCGCTATATTGCCATTTGCCATCCATTGCATTATGAGTTGGTGATGAATTGGAAATACTGTACAGAAATAATAATTATAGTGTGGGTTACAGGTCTCCTCTGTGGAATGCTACATACCACTGGCACTTTTTCCATCCATTTTTGTTCTAATGTGGTCAACCAATTCTTCTGTGAAATTCCACAACTGCTGAATCTATCCTGCTCTGGCATAAATCGACTTGAGGTTGGAATTCTTGTGGCCAATGTCATTGCTTCACTAGGCTGTTCTACTTTTATAGTTGTATCTTATGCAGTGATCTTCAAGACAGTGTTAAGAATCCCTTCTGAAAAAGCAAGGGGAAAAGCCTTATCTACTTGTATTCCCCATCTTACGGTAGTGTTTATGTTAGTATGTAGTGGATGCATTGCCTATCTGAGACCTTCCTCTAACACTCCATCTTACTTAGATATTGGATTGACTGTTCTGTATGCCCTTCTTCCACCCCTGTTCAATCCAATCATCTATAGCATGAGAAATAAGAATATCAAGTGTGTCCTTTCTAAACTGTGGAGATTCTGACAAATTCTTTTGACATTGTTTATATTATATTCATATATTTTTTAAATTTTTTCCTCTCTTTTCATTTGCTCATGTGAAAATATGATATAATGTGTACTTGGAATGGAGGCAAAGTTTAGCCAATCTCTTGCACTAAATTACTGTCAATATATTTTACAGATGCTAAATATGGATGTTTGGCAGCTCTCGCATCCTACACACTAATCATTCTTTATTTTTAGTGAAGTGAATATCAAAGGGTAATGTGACTGGGGCAAACAGGTAGCAATAGTAATAGCACTAAGATTTATATACTGCTTTGTCAGAGCTTTACAGTCCTCTCTAAGGTTTTTAGAGAGTCAGCAGATTGCTGTAACAAACAGGATCCTCATTTTACCCACCTCATAAATATGGAAGCCGAGTCAACCTTGATCCAGTGAGATCCGAACTGCCAAAATGCTGGCAGCCAGTCATCAGCAGAAGTATCCTTCAGTAATGCATTCTATTCACTGTGCAACTGCAGCTCATAGTAAAATGCAGAAGCAAAATGCCGAGGAGGTTTAAATATGTTATATTTTTCATGTGTTTTCCTGTATGAAATGGCTCCCCTCTAATGCTGGTCCCTCTAATGCTTTAAGAAGAGATTGAACTCCTGCTTGAACAGGGGGTTGAACTAGAAGACCTCAAAGATCCCTGCCAACTCTATTCTGCTTGATTGATTGGTCCTTAATATGGCTAGCTAAAACTTCAGTGTTTCTAAAATAGATAGTCCTCCATAACACTTCCCTCCTGAAATGGTCATTTCATCACAAGCATTGACATTTTGCTCTTTTCAGTCAGCATCAAGTCTGACAACTGCGAGGACAAGTCACTATATTTTGCCTGACAACAATTTTTTCATTTGCCATTGCCTCATTTCAAAGGCTGACAGAAAGGGACTGGCCCAAAGGCATACAGTTGGCTAAATTCCTAAGATGGAATAAAAGTTTCAGCCTGATGCCTTAACTTCTACATCCAGTGGGTTTTCAGATTATTTAGCTCAGAAATTTCTTTTCTTTAGAAATGCTTTGGCAGGAACAGACATGTGGCAGGGTGTGAAAGCTCTGTGTGAACTGATACTATTTCATATAATCTTTTGATAACCATGAGAAATAAAAAAGTCAAGATATTAAATTAAGAAGACGCATAATTCTACTAGAACATCAAAAAAGCTTCTATGAGTTTTACAGCTTAATACAAAATGGAAAAGATAAGGCATGTTCTGTGGTTCAGTACTTGGGGAAGTGAACAATGAAACCAAGGATGATATCTTATTGAAATGTCCTTGAGAAATATTGAATTTCATCCAAACAGATAATAATATATACCAAAAGCAATATCACTGTTTTCTGATATCTCTGCCACTATACTTACAATATTTTTGTAAATATATAGAAAATAAATTCACCATGCACTTTGGGGCTCCTTATAAATGCATTTGTAGGTACTTATTGAATCTTAGGTGACATACGTAACTTACTTAGAGGAAAATGAGGGGCTTTCAGCTAAAGGAATATGAAATTTTCTTATACATTGATAGTGCTCTTTTGGATTTTGCAGTCTTGTTTTCTTTCTTTATCTGTGGATACTTCTTGTCTACATTACACAACTTTTCTAGTTAAGATTTTGCACTGCTTTGCTGAATGAACTCAACTTTTTAGGAGGATGTGATTATTTCATTCTAATCCATGAACCTCCTTTTTTCATTTTGTGTGGAGAAAAGGAATGA